GAGGATTTCTCCAAGGAGGACCGGGAGGCTCGCTCCAAGCTGTGGCCACTGGTTCAAGAAGCTAGGAGAAAGGGGAAGAGAGCTTTTCTGAAGGAAGGCTTCGCGCTGATTGACAACAAAAGAGTGGACCCGGAATAACGTGAAAAACACCGCAGTAATTTACTGGAGGGACAGGGAGCAGGTTTTCGGTCCTCAGTAGGTATGCTGAAGTTCTCAGTTTGAGTGTTTATTTTTTTTAGGATTGGACTTGTTATATTCAAAATGTTGTGAGCTATTGCACTAAATATGTTTGTTAAGGGCTACGTTACTCACTCCTGCGCATCGATATATATATATATATATATAGAATTTGAAAGTACACAACCGGAACAAATCTGCCACTTCCTTACAGAGCCCCTCCTCTAAGACACATGACCAATGAGGGCACGAGATAAGTTTGTGCACAGATCTTCGGCTGGAGGCGTCTGAACCCGGCACAGATACTGCATCCGTTTCTTGACTGGCGCTCCCGACGGATGGTAAGTTGTCACAGGCATCTCGCTGATTAAACCCATATTGATGCGTCTCTTAGCCATTTTCTTTTTGAAAGTTTTAGGTGACTTAGTGAGTGGAAATGACTGGCTTTTTATCTAGTTTGAACGGATTTCTTTTTTTACCTAACTCCACCCCCCGATCTTCTGGCATCACAGGGGGCTGACAGGAAGGGGAAGAGGAAGGGGGAGAGGAAGGGGTGTGATGGGGACGGAGGGAGACAGTCTCACACAACTTAACAGAGACTGCCTTAATTAACACTAACCAGATTAAAACTAATCGAATTTAGAGAGGACAATAACGGACATCAAAGGTTAATTAGATTAGATTGACATCAAAGGTTAATTAGAGGTCTTAAACATGTCACATCTACATGATATCTGTCATCAGACACCTCACCCTCACATCAAAGGACAGACATCAAAGGTTAATTAGATTAGATTGACAACAAAGGGTCTATTAGAGGGGGTAATATCACACCTACATGTTATAACACCTCACCCCTCACATCAAAGGATATCACACCTATATGTGATAACACCTCGAACAAATTGACCATTAGCATATCAAAGGGGGTCATTAGCATACGTAGGAAAAGGTGTGACCTGTCACAGCACCTGCCACTTTGTATGCATGCTAATGTATTTTAAACAGCATGAATATCACTACTAACATATTACAAGACCGACTGGAAAACTTGGTCGGACTTTGGGAAACAGTTCTGAATTTGTTTGAATCCTACATAAAGGACAGTAAAAACATTGTTTCTATAGGTAACTATACATCTGAGTTGACAAATATGTGGGGTTCCTCAAGTCTCCATCTTGGGGCCTCTTTTATTTGACATCTACATGCTACCACTCAGATAATGAAAAACAACATAATAAGTTACTATAGCTATGCAGATGACACACAAATGTACATAACCATTTCACCAGGAGACTGTGCTCCAATTCAAACACTAAGTAAATGCATTGAAAAAATAAATGACTGTATGTGTCAGAACTTTCGTCAAATAAACAAAGATAAAACTGAGGTGATTGTTTTGGCGCCTTGCAGGAACTAATACAAGTCAGCGCTGAGCTTCAGTCAGCAATGTTCAAAACAACAGATAAAGACAGAAATGTAGGTGTAACAGTCACATTAAAACAATTGCTAAGTCAGCCTACTATCAACTTAATATATCGAGGATTAAAGATTTATGTCACAGCTGATTTGGAAAAACCTGTACATGCTTTTATCTTCAGTAGACACGGCTGTAATGGTGTTTTTACAGGTCTCACAAAAAAAACTATTAGAAAGCTGCAGCTGATTCAGAACGCCGCTACCTGAGTCCTCACCTATGTTCCTCACTAGCACTAAGAAAGTGGATCACATCAGTCCAGTTCTGAGGTCTTTACACTGGCTTCACCTGCTAAATTGATGAACCATCCAGATCTCTCAGGTCTTCTGGGACAGGTCTGCTTTATGTCCCCAGAGTCAGAAATAAACATGGAGAAGTTCAGTTATTATGCTCCAAATATTTGGAACAAACCAGAAACCTGCAGGTCCGCTGTAGCTCCTACTACTTTTAAATCCAGGCTGAAGACTTTTCATTTTGTCGCTGCTTTTAATTGAACTATTCATATCTTACACTGCACTGTAACCTTTTTTTCATGCATTTTATACCTGTGTTATTATGTTTATTTTATTATCTTTGCTTTATAATGAATGTTTTTAAATGCCATTTTATAATGTGTCTCCGATGCACTATTTCTTAATGCCCTTAATGTCTTCCAATTTTTAAAAGCACTTTGAATTGCCTAGTGTTGAAAGGTGTTATGTAAATAAACTTGCCTTGCCTTGTTTAGTACAATTTATTTTCTTTAAATCGTTCCTTTCTCAAACTTCAAAGATGCTTCTGGTCTGCTGATATTTAAACCTGATGTCGCTCTTTGTTTTGAGATAAACATTAAACATCCATGGCCTCTATGTTTATCTTATTCAACTCTCAGAGTGGTCTTGGGCATACAATGTATAAAGTTAATGTTTAGTCACTGAGACCCCATTGGTTTGTACTCTGTTCAAACAGATCAGAGTATAGAAAAGTTGTCGTTTTTAATGTCACCTGGTATGGACCAGTCGATGTCTTTATCCTGTGAGAAAAATCAAATCAAATATGGAGAACACATGCTGCTTTATAAAGAAAAAAGTTGCTACAAAATCTGGCGTAGTGCAATGTTCAATTACTTGCAAGCCAAAGTTCTTTTTTGAAAACAACATAACACGTAAAAAAGTTAAACTTTTACTGTGTGTCTGGAGTAACAATTAACAGCCAACGTAAACACCAATTACAAGTGTGAAAGATGGTCTGGTGGGGATGCAGGCAGCCGTCAGCCTTTTCTCCCACCTTACGAACTGGGATCCCTTTAACACTGTGTGCATTCTGGCACCTCCTCAACTAGGGAGCTCATTATTTTTCAGGTGTTTGAGTGACTTGTTATGGCAGATTAATGTATGACCTGTCACATGAAACAAAAACATCAACACTCTTGACAAGCCAAGCAATCACAGTTTAGTTTGAATGACTAGGATTTTAGCTAGACATATGATTTTCATTTTTTAGCAGAAAGTTGTAATTTGTCTGTCCATTTTCTCAACTAGTTCAAATTCAAAGACTGGAGATAGAAAAACTAGGATAACAATAGAGGTTTACATTATAGGACTCAATAACATTCAAGGATACTGGAATAATGACATTAAATACTATGAGGTATTTTTGGGATTGTATCTACCCTGACTGCACATGCAAGAATAAAGAGCAGAACACTGGGTGATTATAGCCCCAGTTTGTGCCCTTAAAACATAGACCCTAGTTGCGTTAGCATATGTAAGCCAACTGGAAATCAATGTCATTATTTATTCTTATTCAGTGGCAGTTAACACAACTGACGGTAAGTGTGCTATATTCAGACCTTCACAAGATGTTTAGGTATTAAACATTAGGTTACTTGTGATGAACAGCAAGGCTATGTTCTGATAATCACCCACAGCCACACAACAGAGACTCTTTCTTAGCAGCAAAAAGACTAGTACTATTTCTCAATTGGACCACTTCTGTTCGTACATGTGCTGTTTTGAGTGCATAAGTGCATCTGAATGCAAGGTTTGGCAAATGGCAGTGCACTCAGAGTAGCCTACCTGGATAGTGCACTCATAACAGTCAAAAAGTTGAGTGTTGAATGCTGAACACTGCTCACACTCAACAACCACCATCTTAGCTACGTTACTGTTTTTTCTGTATTTAATGAAAGTACCACTATACTGGTGTTGGAAATAAGCCACCGTTGATTTTAAAGGGTTAATTCAGCAGTCTGTATTGATTTTCCTCTGCCAACAATAACGTTGGCTAACTAGTTCTCTAGCTAACTAGCTAGCAAACAGTGGTCATTATCACATCCGGTGAGGAGACAGTCACCATGTGTGATTTAAGATTACCCTACCCGGTCAGAATTCACACTCTGCGAAAGTGTTGAACTGTCTATGACAAGCAATGTACTATGAGAAGTGTCCAAATTGAGAAAAACAGCTTAACTTGATTAAAGTGATGAGGTAGCCCCTATAGATCAGTTAGAAGTGACGCACTTAATAAACACATTCAGTTGCTAAAAATATACCGGTGCTATCATGAAGCTTCTTGCTAGCATTAGTGACACGTCGCATGTACCTGCCTTACCTCCAAAGAACTTAAAGAGAAAAACAAGAGCCGTGCATATGAATTTGTATATTCCACACTGGAGAAAATACAACAACCAAAATACAATATAATGAATTATATAATAATTGAATCAGTAAATGTACAAGACAGGCACATTTCTGATTCATGCTTTTTTATGAACAATAATTTACATCTTAAAAAATGAAATAACAATTATTTAGTAATCATACGCTTGAACATCAAATGTTTGCTTTACTGTACACATGCCATATTTAAAGACACACAGGGCTTTACTATCATGCTGATCCATAGTTGTTTATAGGGTTGATACATTCTGTACAGTTACGACATATTGCAGTTTAATGGCATTACATTGATATTACAGGATTTAACCCTTGCACATGTATGTGCTCCTGTTGTGTTGGCAATTTCCAAGTGATATTCCACACAAAATGAATATTCTGAATATAAAACACTGAAATGATCTTTAGTGTGCAGTTTCTTCTATGACAGAAGCCTATCGTGGGTTTATGCCAGGTAGACGATTACAAGGACTGTATCTTATCTTATAACAAGTAGGGGTCCATGTGCAATGTATAATAGCAGCTCTTCTCTTCTTCACTTCTCTTTCTGTATCATACTTGGTGGTTACTGGGAAATACTGTTTTCCATTGTCTTTTGTCTATTTGATGATTTGATTTTAGTGTTCAAGCTAAGTGCTTCAGGCAGCAGAATGCTGGAAAAGCCTTTTATACCAAACTAAGCCAAATGTAAAGGCTTCCATAAAGTCTCCCACAAATGAAGAATATGCCCACTGTGGACAAAGCTTTTTAAAGTTTAGACAAATTATGAACCGTGACATGAATTCTATCAAACTGAGAACACCTGATTTACGACTGTCATTAAGGATTCTTCAAAGCCCAAGGTTTGTTCAGAGGCCATTTGGTGAGTAGATTATAGGCTAGGAGTTTGTTTTGTGAGGGGGTATGTGTTCTGACAATAGGACATGCTGACCTGATACAGTTATATAGATATTGTTCTCTGATAGTATTTTAAATATCAAAGGCACTTTTTTTTAACCTAATGGTAACTAATATAACACATTTCTTGCAGTGGTGTTTGTATTAGCAATCTATTTGGCATGTGTTTTTGTTTGCACGATTCAGTTCTCATCTCGAGGTCCTTTCGTTACCAGTTGAAATCACAGATTCCTATAATTTTCTGAACTCTAGTAGCGGCTGTCTTAACGGCTTTGAATCAATCTGCTATTGTTTATCTGTTTCCTATTTTATTTTGAAACATTTTGTATTCCCCTGTGCCTTGTCTGTTTTTACTTCCTGTCTTTGGGTGTTTTCCCGTCTGTCATATTAGTTCCATCTGTTCACCATTAGCCCTGCAATCACGTGACCTTTGGTACGCCTGCAATGTATCCCCTGATTAGTTGTGGTTGTATTTAAGGCTGGTTTTCTGTTCTGTTCTGCCTTGTCTTGACCAAACCTTGTATCTGTTCTAAGTTTCCTATGAGTTTGGATCCATCCTGCTCCACCCTGAAAAATGCACAGCCAGCATCATGTCTGGCTGTAGCCAGTGTTTCGTATTCATAAAGGGTTTTGGGTGGAGTATCACTTCAGCTGACTCTCTTTTAAATAATCCTTTTTAATATCCATACAATGCTTTTTTTATGTGAAACTTTTAGGGTGGCCCTGAAAACTCAATGCACTTCATGTATTGTGTTTTGTTTTAACATTTTGCAGCATGTTTTTGTATTGCATTGTGTTGCGTTTTAATTGCATGTGTTTTCCTTAAGTTGCAGTGCATTGAGTTCTTTGGGCAATCGTACATTTGAAGGTTTGTGTTTTGGGGTAGAATCCAGAGTGCAAAGATGTTTTTTACAATGAAATGAACACATTTAAAATTGTTAAACTTGCCCATGCAGCTGAGGGATGATTACAGTACTTTTGCAAGACCTGCTGGGATTCTTTCCATCTCCACACCAAATACAGATCTTTGCTTCATGCATTACACTCCAGTGTGTCGGGCTGAATAACACCTGTAGCACACGTTTATATTAGACATGCAGCATGGCTTGTACATGGTTATCGACCCAAGCGCTTTGATCATTTGGATTTTTAAAACCATCAAGTAAAATCAAAAGGACAAGGGGACATTGTAAGGGATTTAAGTCACATGTATCCTGATTGTTTCTTTTAGTGCATTTAGCCCTGAACAGGTGACATTCTTCCCGCCTTACTGCTTGAAGAATATTGCTTTTCCCCCATTTGATCAATTCAAGAATTGGAATGGTTGGAGATCCTTCCGGTGCGTCTCCCCGCCCTTATACCACTTCTGGCTCCAGTTTGCGCTGCTCCTCCACCTTCCTGGGCTTGCTGGATCCTGAAGGCCTCTCTCAGGTTTTGAGCCCGGAGCTCCTTGCTCTGGATCTCCTCTACAACTCGACTAGGGAACCAGCCCCTTTCTCCATCATGGAGCCTTTCACCCATCATCCAGCCTGGATTACATAAAACAAAAGATTCACTCAGAAATACAAGCAAAAGTCTCAAATGGGATATAAAGTGGATTTGTGCCTTTACCCACCATCGTTTGTTCTCTCGAGGAGGTTCAAGACATCAGCCATCTCAATGGAGAGTTCATCTGGTTCCTGGAATGAGTATGACTGAATGCACTGCACCTGGGGAGAGTCTGAAAAATAGAGATAGTTTGAGTTTATATCAACATATCTGCATGTTGAGGACTGTCCACAATGTCGGGAATGATATTCTGTTTTACCTGGTTGGTGGGCACTAGTAGACATAAAGCGTGTGCGCCGGTTAGGAGTGAGGGTACACATCCATCGAAGCTTGTCACTCCTGTGTAAAGGATGTAGTTCATGAGAAACCAGTTTAAGGCTAAGCATTTATAATACTATTGTTATTTGGTATGTTTATTGTTCTCCCTGTAGGGCCAACAAGTTAGACCAAAGGGTTCTATACAAATCCACATCCATCATATTCTTTGGTTACCAAACCCCATAAAATTCAAAAACAACAGTGAGGTCATTCTTATCAACACACTGATATATATCCTCTGATTTCCTATATATGAAAGTGGACAATCATATTGTATCAGTCAGATGTACTAACATTTAATTGCAGAGCGATAGTGTGCACAAATGATATACAACTGACGTGAAGACAGTGAAGGAGGTGAAGATGGTGTCGATAAAGCTGATTCTTAGAATTTTCAGTAAGTCTTAAGTCTTACCTGTACATGCCATATTATGCAGATATTTCTTATTAATATTTATTTTTATTTAATACGATCATGTAATCATGACAATATCAAACTAATTTCAAGTTATTTATGTACTGGTTGTCTTTTTAAATAATAGTCGCGTTCACACCAAGTACTTTGACGTACTTAGTTCCCAGTACTTAGTCCTGCCGAACTCTTTAGTCCCAGAACTGTCCTAGTAGGTCTCGTTCACACCGGAATAAGTCACTTCTTCATCTGCTTTGGGTTTACTGGCAGGCCGCAAACAACTTCACGGCGTATACTGCCACCCAAAGTCCCCGGCCGGAAGACTGGCTTCAGTAGAAGCTGCTGGGACTCCCAGCAGCTTCTACTGAAGCCTTCCGAGTAAATCGCCAGAAGCGCCGACACCTCCTCATCACTCCACCGCTCCCATGTTTTCTTTTGTGTTGCCATAAGTTAGTCTCTCTCCGTTGGTGCGCTGGGGTAATGCTAATAATGCTAATGCGAGCAAATAAAATGGCGGCTTCGCAAAACGGAGTTTTACGGGGCGTGGTTTGCAATTCGCCCAGCCAATCAGAAATTGGAACCTTTTTCTCCCCAGGAAAGTACCACCTCTCTAGCAGGGACTATCTCTGGGTGAAAAGGTTTGCATGAACTAGGTTCTAGTTCCAGATCTTTTTGGTGTGAAACCAAAATCCCAAGAACTATCGGCTTAGTTCTTGGGAAAAGTACTCCGGTGTGAAAGCACCTATTGTGTTAAAATGTCTTTACCTCTATAAATGTATTCATTGTAGTTTACTCATATATCTTACACTGCATTTATTCATGTATTTTTGATGTATATTTTATTATCTTTTACTAGCTTTTTCATGACTGTTTTTGAATGCCATTTTATAATGTGTTTCAGCTGCACTATTTCTTAATGCTCTTAATGTCTTTCATTTTTGTAACTCAGTTTGAATTGCCTTGTGTTGAATGGTGCCATGTAAATAAAATTGCCTTGCCTTGCTGATGTATTACAGCTCTTCAGATGTTTGTATAGGCTTTGTATTCAAATGTATTTCCCCACCTCAACTTTACACCTGTACTATGTCTACAGAGGTGTAGACTTTTCACACGAAATTGACCCTTTAAGATTTCCATATTTTATCACGAAAGCCTTAGTTCTTTGTGCCAAAAACATAGTCAAACGGCACAGTTATCATATAGGCCTCCTGTGTGTATTTTTTACATTCATAACTGCTTGGTGATTCTGCTTCAGATACTCACATGCTGGCGGTCTTCAGCATGTAGCTGACTGGACGCTCCTCTTGGTTCTCCAGCAGTTTAAGATTAAAGACATTGGCCAAGAGCTGGCCCTGGTCTTCGAGATCTTCAGTCCTCAACATGGACCGAGTGCATGAGTCCAGAACCTGGAACTTTTCCCCACTGACAAACAATTTGATTGAATTAATATTTGTTCAATGTAAACAAACATTTACTAAGATTATGGTGCTGTGGAATTAAATTGTAAAATATATTTGTAATGTGGAGGACAAATATTTACAATGATAAATGATGGCACAACATCCTTTATGATAAATCATTAAGTTGAATCAGCACAACACAACACTTCTAACGCAAATGTAATTAATTGGTTAATTTAGGTTCAGAAGCAGGGCCATGCCTCAACCCACCCATCCTTAGCTACATCCCTCAATCCCTCCACCTATCAACCAATTAATGTGTCCCACCCTTCATCCCTTCATCCACATTTATTTATTCTTCCACCCATTGACCCCTTCATTCATTGATCCTTAATCCCATCCTCAACGTTTCATCCCTTCATTGTCTCTACCCATGTCTTCCCATCCCTAAGCAGCTTGTGCTTACTTTTCTGATGTCTCATTCTAGGTATTGACTCCTTAATCCATTTATCCATTTATCCCTTCATCCCTCCAGGAACCCCTTCATCCTTTTCCCCCCTAAGTCTTTTTATCCGTCCCTCCCCTATCCCCTCATCCCTTCATCCCCATCGCATCTCATCCCTTCCTATTCAACTTGTGAAAACCTCTATCACTTCATCCATTCATCCCTTACATTGCTTCTGCCCTCCCACCCTTCATATCTTCATTCTCACACACATCCCTTCATCGTACCACCCATCCACCCCTTCATCCCTTCAGGAACCCCTTCATCCTTTTCCCCCTGAGTCTTTTTATCCATCCCTCCGCTATCGCCTCATCCCTTCATCCTTTATACCAGGGATGGGGAACCTCCGGCCCCCGGGCCGTATACGGCCCGCGAGACCATTTGGTATGGCCCTCGAGGTAATTTATAAACACACGCAAACAATTTAAGAAATCTAGACCGCAAAATAATTAAACAAGCGAGTGCCTGTTTTTCCTGGCAACGGTCATGGTCCTTGAACACAACACGAGCCTAACATGTCATCACGTGGTATATGTCTCGTCTGACAGGGGTGCAGTTCTGACGGAGAGCACCAGAACGCCGCTCCGGGACTTCAAAAATTGCAGTAGGCCTACCCATAAATCCGTACACATGCTGCAGTTTTTGCGTGGCTGTGTCTTTAGTTGTAAGCCCAGTGGCGATCTGTCATTCTGATCATACAGTCAATAACTTTGTTGTTATTAGCATCTGGTTAGCTAGCTATGCTAACGAATATAAGAAGCTTTTTCTCCAACCAGTGAGGTAAAGGCACATCTTTATATGATCATTATAGTTATAAAAAAACAAGAGAATAAAGTAAACAGGTATAAAATACTATATGACAGTAAACAAAAGTTGTTATTAATAAACAAGAATACAGTTTGAAAGGAGAGTGATTTGTAAAATATCCATAAAGAAAAAGTTAATCTGCTTACAGTTCTGTTTCATCTGGGTGTTGAGAGATATTTCCATAAATCTCTTCATTTTGCTCTCAAAGTGCACCAGATTGATGCTTTTAACTTCAACATTTAAAAACAAATCTTCCCGGGGGAGCATGCCCCCCCGGACCCCCCTAGAGGAGGTTAGGTCCCCCCCACTTAAATAATGTCCACATGGATAGGAAACTAAATACATTTGCACACATCTTGTATCCATATCTTTCTGTTTGGTGGTCATGCCACACCGTGCACGTGCATGCATGCGTGAGTCATGGCAAGATATCTGGACTAAGAGGTTGCTTTTTCTTTGCACAGCATGAAAGAAAGGCCAAATGAATGGGCTGTGATTTTTAAGCAGAGGTCAATCATTTGTACGGCCCTCGGAGGATGTTGAAAAAATTGAAATGGCCCTTGAGAGGAAAAAGGTTCCCCACCCCTGCTTTATACCCATCACATCTCATCCCTTCCAATTCAACTTGTCTTGATCTCATCCCTTCCTATTCAACTCCCTTCATCATTCCACCCATCAACCCTTCATCCCTCCTTTTCCTCATCATTTGACCTATTTTTTCTATCTCATCCCTTCCCATTTAAAATTGTGCAAACTTGTCTCATGTCTCATTCTGTGTTCCATCTGGTAGAACAATCTTTAAATTACATTGTTAAGGCGTGGTCCTTGCTATTGAAACCAAACGTTGAAAACTTCATGGAGGGAGGAGGCTTTTTAGGACTCTTTGTTTGACTGTATTAGTTGTGGCTAAGGGTTCCAAATGAATTGGCAACTTTGTGTTTCACAGTGAGAATTCATAACCAAAGCTTACCTGGAGCTTGGCTTGGTGACCAGTAGCAGATTGTTAAAAAGGAACAAGTATACTGGTTGGTAGAGCTTACGACTCCGCATGGTCCGAGTGCTCTTAGGTCCAGCCATGAGCTGCACTTCACCTTTCTTTAGCAACCAGCGCGAGTGGGAAATGATGGGCACAGACTGCAAAGGACAAAACAATTGGGGTTTGAAATAAGGTTAACTGCAGATATCTCTAGTTTGTCTCAGCCAGAAGATAAGTTTACACTAATTCACCAAGTCTTAGGAAATGTGGAATACTAATAGTTCACGAATAGCCAAGCTAGTCTAAACAGGTGTATTGATAAATTATTGGCTTTTTACTCTGAGGTCCCCAGGCCCATCCCTACCAGCCTGTCATATTGGAAGAACCGTTGAGTTATGACCAATGCCAATATTTCTTATTAATATGCAAAGAGTCAGGTTTGCTTTTCTATTTATTTTGAACAAGAAATGTCCTAAATTATGAACGTTAAATTCCCTCAATCATGTGTGTCTTGTGGTTCAACTACTTCCTGTATTGGAACTTCCCATTCACTAAAACTTGGATTACCTTGGATTTGAACTCCAGTGTTTTCTCGATGCTGATAAGCTCCTCAGTGCGACTCATTTTTCTCACCCCTTCATTACACTCTTTCACGATCTGAAAAAGATAAAATATACAGCATGAATGGATAACCTTAGAGCATCATATGCTATGGTTTTCCCTTTCTCTTGATCAGTGGTTCCCAGCCTGTGGGCCTAGGGCCCCCTAGTGGTCCGCGAAGGCATTGCAAGTGGGCCGCCAAATCATTTGAATTTTTAATCTTTTAATTTAATTACATTTTATTTACAAAATAAATGTTATTTGTAATCTACTCTTCAAACACCTTAAATTAAGATTACTCCTTGATTGACTTTTAAAAATATGTATTTTAGCCAGAAGAATAGTCATATTTATTGAATGTGTGCGGTCTTCATCTAAAAGCCCAAATAAAATATTAAAGGGTGTAAATGTAAATTCAATATTTGCCGCCAAATAATTAGCAAAATATTATGATTTGAGTGGAAACATTTTAATTATTACGATTTTTTTGTATGTTAAACTCTTTTCCTTTCTCTTTCTTGATCCTCCTTAGCAACGGTCAATACAGTCCTTGACAGCGGTCTGTACTACTGGATTAACAATGTGTCACATGTTCTGAATTGACCAATCAGAACTTTATTGAGCCTCCGTATTGTTTATAGTTGAATGTGGGCCGCAAAACATTTTTTGATTCTTAAGTGGGCCCTGAGTTAAAAAAGGTTGGGAACCGCTACTCTAGATATTTTATTGTGTCTCATTCATTTTTTATTTCAACGTTGAAGCTTTGGCATGATATTTACAGTTAATAGTCTGAGCTATCTATTGAAAACAGAGTGTAAAAGGCAGCTGATAGAAAATAGAAGTATGCAAAGAAGAATAATTCTGACAAGGTGAGCTCTTGTTGATTGCATCATTCATATTCAAAGTTTTTCAGCCTTGTTATTATTCTTATTGTCCCTAATGGACATGAACACTTGTTGAGTTAAGTTAGGCCTTTTAAATGATTCGCCAGCACTCTATGGTATGATCATGTTTGATCATACCATAAGTGAATATATCTGCACTTTCCTTGTTGTTCGGAGTTTGATTCTTTATGGTTTTTTCACTAATTGTAAGTCGCTTTGGAACAAGCGTCAGCTAAATTATATGTAATGTATGTAATGTAGAATCAAACATGTTTGACATGGCAAATATCAATAATATGTAATAATGTCCCTTTTTTATTTTTACATCTCATTAAACTTAATTTAACTTACAATTTGTTTCCAAGGCTATACCTACAATGAGTGTAGTCAACCGTGAGGAAAAAAACCTAAAAAAACCTAGAATCCTGTAAGAATGTCAGTTTTCAATAAATCATTGTAAGCGCTACCGTATTGGCTTTAACTCAGCCAAAACTTTCAAGTGCGACGTACAGAAGTGAGATGTTATACTGGCCAAGGTGCAACGGAAAAACAAGTGGGTTATCAGTCAGGGACGATGTATAGACATGCTGCTGTCCTGATATCAATGGAGAGCTTGTTCCATCATTTTGGAACCAGTTAGCAAACTGGCGTGTTTTTGTTGAGGGGAACCATGGGTCCCCCTGCAGCGACATATAATCTAGCCGATTGGCTTGGATCTTTTCTTAGGAATCTTTCTCTCTCATCTGTCCTTGTTAACTCTAGTGTGCTTTGTTTGTTTTTACAAGTGCTAGTCTGAGCCTTTAGGGTTATGCAAATTGCAGTATAACCTGCTTTTATTCAAGTGCTGACTCCACTTACAAGTGAGCCCAGTAAATGACTGATGTTGCACAAGTGGGTGTAAATAGAAATTCTAACTAGTAGAATTATTTTGTTAAAACGTTTGTCACTTCTCTAAAATCAAGCTTGCTTTTCTTTGCTAATATCTCATTGGCTCACAGTAAACACAAGCTGAATAAGGAGCGCTATATCGAGCTATGGTTTGGACAGAAAACACAACCAAGCACAAGTCGTGGTTAACTTAATCTCAAAAGGGCCCTCAAGACCCATCTGTTTGCTAAGGCCTTTGGCCCCTAATCTATTTGTTGTTTTGTCTGTCTGACTGGTTGTCTGACTGCATTTGTTTTTGTTATGTTTGTTTTGCCCATGTTCTTCTTTGTAAAGCGACCTTGGGTCTCATGAAAGGCGCTATATAAACCCAAGCTATTATTATTATTATTAATAAACAATGCAAATGATGCTTCTAATGAAACAAGGAATATACAGGGAATGTATGCTTGCGCGTAATTGATAAGCCCCTGCAGTGCGAAAATAAATATGTCAACACAGTGACAGTTATGTTATTATATCTTTATATTGAGTCACATTATAGTAATGATAGGCATATCATCATGTTGACATGATCCTATGAACAAGGATCATGTCAGGATGCTTACCTGCTCCAGTTGCTGATGTGCTTTTATAGCATTTGCCTCCCTCTCTGAGTTCTCCTCTGCTTTTTTCAGGATATTCTGTGTGAGAAACA